TCGCAATACCTTTGCGTTACCTCGCAATACCTTTGCGTTACCTCGCAATACTTTTGCGTTACCTCGCAATACCTTTGCATTCATTCGCAAAACCTTTTCCTTCCCTCGCAATACTTTTGCGTTCCCTCACAGTACTTTTGCGTTACCTCACAATATTGTTTTGCGTTCCCTCGTAATACTTGTGCGTTACCTCGCAATACCTTTGCATTCCCTTGCAATAACTTTGCGTTACCTCGCAATACTTTTGTGTTACCTCGCAATATTGTTTTGCGTCCCCACACAAAAGTTTCATTTGGATATGAACTGAATTAAATCAGACTTTTATTTTGAAATATCTGGTTACCAAAACAGAATGTGTCGCCACAATTTCGTTAAATTGACAATAATGTTGCGTGGCTGTACTGTGTTAAAATATCATCATATGACATACTTCCATGCGTGGCTGTGTGATATATTCATTCTGAAGCTGAATTAAAGCAGTAGGCTAACTCGCTAATGGTGAACATGTGAGTTTGTTAATAAACCGGCAGCACAACAGTGATAAATGACTTTTGCGAGGGAACGTAAAAGGTATTGTAACGTAATACTTTTGCGTGGGAACGTAAAAAGAAAAAATCCCCCATGTCCCCTCGAGGGCTCAGTACAAATCATCTGCATTACTATCTCTTGAGGGAAATAAAAGATCAGGCTTCAACAGCAGAGATTAATAACAACTGACATAATGTGAGATGTTTTTGACTGACAAACCTTTGTTTGGATGAACAATATTTTTACACTTAAATCTAAAGTGTCTTATTTTTCCTGCAACTTTAAATGTGAGACATTTTAATACTTAACAGGGTTAACTATATTTCTTCTCAGATTTGTGAACACAACTTGTAATATCAAACATAAAAACACTGCAGATCACCTGTTTGTTCCACTGCTTCTTCATAAGACAATTTCTTTGTTGCTGTTTCATTGTCGTTATTCAATGGTGTCCTATCAAAAATGATTTCACCTATAAATCAATAAAACACATGTAAAAACACAAAATCACACAGGCTTTAAGTGACATGCATTTCATATAAAAACAAAAGTTGGAAGAAAACATCTTAAAGTGGGGTATTATGTAAAATCAACTTTTTTGAGCTTCACGTCAAGCTTTAAAGGGCCAATTTTATGTGTTTCTCAGGCATATATTTAAATACTATACTATACCATAATAAAGTATCTATGTCACCTTTAGTTGTTATTAAAATAATGTTTTTATGTTTAAATAGAAAATAAACTTATCTTCCTCTCCTTGGGCTGCTACCTTATCGTGGTGGAGGGGTTTGAGTGTCCCAATGATCCTAGGAGCTATGT